ACATAGTAAAAGTCTTAACATTTACTGCTCCATAACATATACTATTGCTTCTTTCAGGCCTTTTTTATGTTGCCCTAAGCATTTACTCTAATTCAAGAGAAAATTCTGAAGGGGGAAAAAAAGATTTTTAATCTATTTAAATGTTAGCGGCTTTCTATTACAGAAGATGGAAAAATACACTAAGAAATCATTTAAACCTCTAGAGGCCAACACTCTAAGCTGAACTGGACGATTTTTTTTTTTTTGTACACTTGTCAAGTTAAACATATTTCATATTTATAAAATGCTACTTGAATTCTGCACTCTCAAAAGTAAGATTCTTAAGATACTAGGATCCTATGCTCAAAACACCCTTTGTTTCTGAAGTAAATGTTAGGAGATACCGGTGTATTTAAAAATGGTATTTGTTGATCTCTAACAAGTATTTCTAGAGTGCCAACTATGTGAAGTACAAAGTTTGGGATGGTGGGAGCATTGCAGTTAACAAAACAGATAAAAATCCTGGCCTTTAAGAAACTTATGCTCCAGGGAAAATCCTATGTAGTTAACTAAATAAATGAAACAGACAGCCTATTACACCGGGAGAGACTTGGTAAAATGATTAAATGAGGAACAGGGTGGAGAGTGGCGGATGGGTTGCAATTTTAAGTAGGCTGGTCAAGGAAGGCCCCTTCGAGAGGCAATATTTAAGCTCTAGGAGGTAGACAGGTGTACTTAGGGAAGGAGGGATCTGGCAGAAGGAAAAGCAAGGACAAAAGCCAGTATGGTTGGGGTGGAATGAGCAACAAGGAGAGCAGAAGTGAGGGATGAAGTCTGAGAAGTGACAGGGGACAGATCATGCAGGGGACTGTAAGACACTGAGATGTGGGATGGAAAAGCCATTCGACGAGAGGTTTTATTTAAAGCATTAATGTGATCTGGCTTTTTTTTTAATTGAGATATAAGTCACATATCATAAAATTCACTCTTTTAAAGTGCACAATTCAGTGGTTTTTAGTATGGTCACAAGGTTGTGCAACCATTACCACTTCTCATTCCAGAACTTCATCACCCCAAAAAGAAACCCCATACCCATTAGCTGTCACTCCCCTTACCCTGTCCTTCACAGGCCCTGGCAAGCACTCATCTACTTCCTGACTCCACAGATTTGCATATTCCAGTCATTTCATATAAATGGAATCACACTACGTGTGGCCTTTTGTATCTGGCTTACTTTGTCAGACATCTGGCTACTGTGATGGGTACAGGCTGAATGGAGGCAAAGACAGAAGCAGGGAGACCAGCAGAGAGATGAATGCAGTAATTCAAGTGAGAGATGAGAGAGGTTTGAAACAGGATGGGAAGCAAGATGGGAATAACAGTCGTATCTTGAGTACATGTGGGTAGACTGGATGGCAGGTAGGAGAAAGAAGAGTCAAGGACAAGGCAGGTTTTTGGCTGGAGCACCTGAATGGAGCTGACATCAACCCAGGGAGCAGGGCCAGGGGAAGTGGGAGGAAATGGCAGGGGCTGGATTCTGATGTTAAGTAAACCTGGGATGCTACCAGCTTTCCATGGGAAGATGCCACAAAGGAAGCTGGACAGGAGTCTGGAATTCAAAGGAGAGGTCTGAGCTGGAGATACACATTTGGGAATCTGAAAATGAAAACATTAATACCATGAAACTAGAGGAGATCACCAAGGGAGTAATTACTATAGAAAAGAGAGCACATCCAACCTAAGAGTCCTCGGGCATGTTAATATTTATAGGTCAGAGGGATGAGGAGCAACCAGTGAAAAAGACTGAGAAGGAAACACCAATAAGGTAGGAGAACCAAGAATGGAATCTTAACAAACGGAAAAAGTTCTCATGGAGGAAGGCACGGTCAACTCTGCCCAGCGCTGCTGATGTGCCATGTAGCGGGGAGGACTGAGAATGAAGCACCAGGTTGAGGAACCGGGACCGTGACCAGCAGTCATTCACAGACCACGGATCCTCCCTCTGCCCCCCCCCGCCCCCCCCCCCCAGCGCCCGGCCCCCACCCCCGACACACCCTGTGCCGGAGGGAGGAGGGGGCGCCTTTCCCAGGGCCGCTTTGCAAAGGCGCAGGGTGAGCGGAGTGGGGGAGGGGGGTCAAAGACCCGACTGCAATGGGTTCAGGAGACAGAGGGAGGAAAGGGATTATAGTCAGGGGTAAATCCTTTTGAGGAGTTTAGCTATAAGGGGGTGGAGAAACAGCTGTAGTGGGCAGTGGGGCAAAGAGAGGGCTTCCTGTAAGATGCGAGAAATAAAAATGTAAAGAAGGAAACAGGATAAAGGAGAGGGCAGGGAAATGCTGGGACAGGTTGGAGGGAGACAGAATTACACACTTATCTGTCAGACAGCCTGCAATTAAAATATAAGTCATCTACTGATGTATGAAAAACAAGTAAGGATATGCTATCCACCCCCCACCCCCAGGAGACACAAAACCCATCATTTAAAAGGATCTGGATCTACTTTTCAAGGCTGAAGATACTGAACTGATTGTACAGGGAGGGTCAGGGTTAGGCTCTGGGCTTGGAGTCGTAAGAGCCAGGTTCAAAGACCATGACAAGTTACAACATCCCAGAAACTTCTTTTGACCTCCCCTTTACATCCATTAAATATGGATTAAAAATGACCTGTCCTTTCTACCTTACGGGATTGATGAGATAATCAGATGAAATATGCAAACACTGTAACTCTTGGGTGTCGTATCCCCGTAATGCATTTTTAGTGCTACCAGAGAAGGGGGAATCGTATATGCTTGGTCTGATTCCAACACCCTACACTTTAGCTCCAAGGGGGGGGAGGGAAACAAAGGCAAAATCAAACATTTCTGGCAGAATAAGTATGAAAAAAATAGCTTTCTGATACTGTATTTCAAACACAGTAAGTTGTACAGGAATTATGCCCTAATTTCCACCTTTAAAAAACTCAACAACCAAAAATCTTTTAGTTTAGATTCAGCTGAGCCTGGGGCAAAAATAAAAAAAAAGTACACTAAATTTGACTGAAGGCATGAAGCCAGCCCATGCTTACAAAAAGATGTGACCTAGTATCTTTCCATGAATCTCTCTTACTCTTCATGGTCCCTACCACCTGCCAGGATCAACTCAACTCAAAAGACTTATTTCATCCTTAACTTCTTGCCCAATAATGGACATTGATTAGTCAGTGTTTAAAAGAAGGGTTTGTTTTTTTTAAGTTATTATCTTCATTTATTTTTAACTGAGGATGCTTCGTGTATGGACCATAGTTCTTCTTAAAGAAAACACACCTTACAAGGAATCTTGATCAAGCCATTAACTTTTCTCCTGATTTTGTCAGGTCAAGTACAACACGGAGGTGTGGGCTCACTTTTTCTAATAAGAATAAGAGTATCTACATATATCGAGGAACTGTTAACAGAAAGAATTCTGAGATGGAATTTACAGTAGACACCAAAGCTGAGCTGCCCTCATTGCTCAAGCTCCCCCTCAAATTTGGGCTGAACATTTTGGTAAGAATCCAGCTGGCCATGAGACCTCACAAGATTTTAAAGGAACGTGCAAGAGACAGAATACACAAGGAAATACACACACACCTATATATATGGACATATACATACACTTTTCCTTTAAAATATGTCTTTCTCTCTATATACATGCATCACTTGGCAGAGGAATCAGAGCTTCCTTGTGAAATCAGTATGTATACCATATACAATTAAAAGGAAAAAAAGAGCTTAATTATTTCTATTTATAAAGGTATCTTCACATTTATGACATATCATTTGTAGACCAATAACATATTAGATACTTTACTCAGAATCCTAATCTCCCACTAAAACCTCAGTTACTCCCTAAAATAATTCCACTTTATAATGACCTACATTATAGAATTTATAGGAACAGATTACTCTGATGGGTAAGCATAGCCACCTAAAGCTCCCTCAGTCACAACCTTCAGCATTATTGGGGAAAGGATTTATTTTGAGCAAGTGATATTTTTTTTTAAGTTAAAACACATTTAAGGCGCCCAAGTCATTTAAGCATCAGTTTTAAATTTATTTTTAAAGAAAGTTTTATCATAATACATAGTACCCTAATTACCCTGGTAAGTATTAACAATATAATTAATGCCAGTTAACATTAATAACATATTAACTAATCTTAATTACTTAGGGTCATCAATATGATTACCCAGCAATGGACTACATTATAAAATCTTCACAAACTTAGGATTATCTGAGGAGTGTGGAGCTTCTCACCCTCACCCTATTGGAACCAGGCTACACTTTTTCTCAGATGACGGCATCTGCCTCTTACAGCTTCTCTGCCTCCCGTGCCCTTTGGGGAGGCGGCGAGTCATGTCCTGCTCCTGACAGCAAGTCTGTATCTAGCAGGCTCCCCCAACTCCATGCAGCTATCTATGCATTCTCAAAGCAATAGAATTAGAGCCCCGTGCCCAAAGTGAAGCACCTCTGTCCCAACCCAGCTGCATGGCCCCAGACAGACAACCCACGGAACCCCTTTAGGAATTCATGTCCCTATCCATACAGTGAAAGAACTGGCCTGAGTGATCTCTAAGTACCATCCAACCTTAAGACTCTGTGATGAATCTTGTTAATGGCTGGGGAAATTAATATCTAAGTTCATCAGAACTGTGCCCAAAGAAAGAACAAAGAAACTCTGACAAACGACCTCAGAGGTTCCTATACTTTGTGCATGGAATTTATAGTCTCCTATTTTTGCTATGTTGTGGACATTTGGGTCTTCTAGGCTCTTTGTTATATTTCTAATAAGTGAGGTTCTTATTAAATGGGAAAGAATTACATTAAGAGCTTTTTAAAAAAGAAAATTAAATATGACTCACATATACTTCTTCCACATAAAAGAATTCAAGAATTTTTTCAAAAATCCAGAGTAAATTATTCCTTTATGAAAACTTTTGTTTCTAAATGCATTTCCATTTGATAGATCAACAAAATGATACTGTATACTAAAAAATGATTTACCTATAACTACATCATGACCATCAACCAAGCCAGCAGAGAAGAGCTCCTGAGATACGCCATCTGCCGTATCTGTCCAAATGTGAAATGAATATGTATTAGTAACCATAAAATAAAAATCAACAACCCAGTACAATGTAAAAGATATTTTCCATTTACAAAAATCACCCACGTGTGTTTTAATTCAACAATTCAGATTCTATCAGAAGGAAAGATCAGAGGCAATGTGAAATATATTTTGCCATATACAATTTGCATCTTGGTGTTTATTCAACAGAGGTTCTATGAAATTATGATTTCATTTTTGGTGAACCAAAAAACATTTGCCCTTTGGCTACCACCTGACTTAATCCTCAAATGTACCTCTATAAGTTAGCTCGTAACGGGTCCCAGTGACTGCTTTTTTTTCTTGCCAAGGTCAATTCCATCCATCATCAATCCTTTTCTATCATTAGTAGCTACTGAGTCAGAATTTATGGCAAAGGTTGAACAGGCAGCACTTGACACAACCTTATATTTGGTACAAACAGCCTTTGAGCTTGTTGGACTATTAAGATGAGCTATTTAAATTTATGCTATTAAGAAACTCCTTTAACATGACATTGATCATTTGATAGCAACAGATTCATTCTCTTAGAAAATGTGGCTGGATAAAAGAATGTAGTTTCTCAATGATAAGTGACAGGAGTTAGAAATCTCATAAAGATGGGACTGAACAGGCTGTAGCAAGTGAATATAACCAAAATCACTTAATTGAAAGGTTGTGAATGAACATGGTAATAAGGGAGAAGTTTGTTCGAAGACTTTGTAAAGAGAAAGTGATAAATGGCCATGTGCTCAAAAGAACCATTATGAACCCCTAGGTTTCTACAAGGGAAAGGACATGGTCCCCACGGCCTTCTGACATTATCACAAATGTTCAGAACTACAACTGGCTAGCAGCTGGTAATAACCTAGAAGGTTTGCCTTGAGTGTCTTCCAAAGTCAGTTAGCACCTCAGCGTATTGCTGCTGAATCAAACAAGCATCTAAATTGAACTGCAGTTTGCTATGCCCAAGGCTGCCCTCAGAGTGTATGCGCACGTGCGTGAGCGCTCATGTGAGCGGGTCGCTGATGGTAAAATTATCTTTCACATTTGTGGGCTTTAATGTGCTTAGCCCAGTGTCTGACACATAGTAATCACTCCATCAGTGGTAGCCGTGATGATGATGCTCAGCCAAGGATCATCTGAAATGTACCTCATGCTCTAGCGCACTCTCTTTCTCCCTTTCATACACGGCCCAATTTCCAGGATCTCCAATAAAAAATTTGAGAGCCACTGTATACTTGTTGTACGTCCAGAGACGTTGTGGTATTCCATCATTTTACTCATCCCATTTTATCATGAATGATGTGGAATAACATGAAGGAAATGGAAAAGAAAAAGGTATCTTTCTCAACTATGAGATTCCATACAAGGTGGGCTTATGTTGGGGCTTGTCCTTACTATTAGAAGTACAAAAAACACCTTATAAAATTCTCTCAGGGATAAAATGATCCCATAGCATGGTATCTAGGGTCAGAGGCTCTACTCTGCATGCGATGTAGCTTTATGAAGTCGACTGGACATTCTAGGCTCACAATGTCATCCTCCTGGAGGCCACCAGAAACTTCACTACAAAAAGCGTATTGAATTAAGGTGTCTACCTAGTAGGCACAGGGCACACAGCAGGCAGTGATTGCATTTCTATGGACTGATCATCTATTAAAGCATCTGGATGTGTTACCACCACCTCTAAAGTATCAATAAGATCTTACACCTGAGTAAGGATCTACACTCACAGAACGTAGTTGAAAATGGACTAATCAAGCAAAGCCACATTGCGGCTAGCACTAAAACAGTACCAAAGCAAAGGACGTTCCCAGTGATTAAAGTTTACAGCATCTCTGGTTATTCTCAGGACTCCTGAATACCCCATGAGTTTCATTCAAACAGCACAAGGGCCATGCTGGCCATTTCTGGCCCAAAGGAGAAATAGTCCATGTTTGTGTACCATTAACCAGTTAATCTGTATGCATGTAAGTAATGTATCAGTAATAGTTTAGAACAGAAACTGGGAGGTAATTGGTAACATTTTTCTGTAAGCTGCTTAATGTTCCTAATGTGTAAACAGGGTTAAATCATCATAAATAATCATAGATGCTCTGGTTTCCAGAATATACAGCAACATCATAAATGCAAAGGGCTCGCTCTCAAGCGGAGATCGAGAATATCTGCTCTGTGTTATACGCCCTATGCCGTACGACACGTTTCTGAGCGCGTACAGCGCCGACACAACGCACATGCGCGCACAGTGCGGACACAACGCACATGCGCGCACAGTGCGGACACAACGCACATGCGCGCACAGTGCGGACACAACGCACATGCGCGCACAGTGCGGACACAACGCACATGCGCGCACAGTGCGGACACAACGCACATGCGCGCACAGTGCGGACACAACGCACATGCGCGCACAGTGCAGACAGCATCGGCGGCCACAGAGGGATGGCGATATATCCGTGGGGGTTCCGTTAAAACGGCCTGTGCTCACGGCCCAGGGAAGGCTTCCATCTGGGAAACAAAAGCAGACTCGACCCACGACGGCGAACGAGGCTGCCAAAGCCAGCGCAAAGGGCCAGGTGATGCCGAGAGGGCCATTTTCTCCCCCAAAATCCTCAACTGGGAAATTCATTTCTTTGTTATCTCTGGAAATTCAAATTAATTTTTACTGCCACTGTCAGTTTTAGATCATTAGACGGGGAAAAAACCCTTGAGAGAAGAATTTGTTCTTTTAGTCACTGTATTTGAAACATTTATTATATAATTACTAGGTTTTTTTGTTGTTTTTTTTTTACTTTTTTAAAAACCACAGCAGTCACTTTACTTTTAGGTTTGCACTTCACAAAACCACAAGGGAGAAGTCCTTGACGGAGAGAGGTGTGGGAGTGGGGGATAGTAAAGAGGGGTATGATTCCTAGATTTTTATCATAACTACTGGCTGGTCAATATTCTTATATTACGACAAAATAGAGAGCTTTTGGATAATAGAAACTGGTGCTGCTGTATGATTTCATAGACTGACTCTAAACTGCCCAAGATGGATGTTCCCAGAAAGAAAGATCAATTAGCAAATTTATCAGGGCCTTATTTGCCTATATTTTGTAACAAGTACTTCATATGTTACTTTAATTCAAATATATTGGGAATCATTAAGTCTTTATGCTGACCGGGGACTAGGCATCAGGGCCAGCGAGTCTATGCCCACTTTGGGCCCAGGAACATGTTCTGTTTGGCCAGCAGCGTTGTTCTTTTTAAAAGACTGAACGTGAGCAGACAGGACTGTCTGGTTTCCTGGAGTCCCCACCGTTTCCTCTGGTTCCTGTACACATCTGAGTTTGTGTCTTCTTCCATTTCTAACAGCAGGGAGGTCAAAGCAGGTAACCCCTCGACCAAATATCACACCTTGAAGTTTCAGATTTTCAAAATTTTAGCAACTATGATTTGTTTAATCAAATCAAAATTTACATGGAGCTCTAATACATGAAATAATTACAGAGTGTTATTAGCTTAATGTATATTAACACACTCAAATGTATGAGCCTAATGTATTTTAATAATATGCATTTTAGAAGGCTTTCAATATAGATAGTGAGGCTGCTTTCATGTACTCAAAAATCTGAAACCAGGGGTCAGGGAGAACGATTAAGTCTCAGCATTAGCATCTGATTTTCACCTTTTTTGGGTTGTTCTGGTTATAAAGTAAAGAGTAGAAACAGCAATTTTTGCTTAACTACTAATCTTGTGGTTTCCAAAGGCTGTTCATATATGTTACTTATCCATTAAGTAACCAAAATTACTTGATATTCTCCTGCATAGCAGGCACTCAGTCAAGTGCTAAAGATAGCAAGAAATGAGACATGCTTCCATGAACTCCAGGCAACCGGGAGCCAGGAAGGCAAGCAGTCTAGCCTTGAAGCTGTGAGAATGACAACATTCCTACCAAGCTCTATGGATGAGAGTAGAGAGGTAAAGTATAGCACTTTCTTGTGTGACATCTTATTTGTTGCTCACCTCTCCCTAGAACTGCTCTGTGCTACTCAGTACACTCATCACAGGGTCCTGCAGGCCCTGCGTCACCACACCAGTATTTCTTTTCATGGTCAAGCTAACATATTTCACTTGTATGTGTATATTAACGTGCAGCATGTCACAGGAATTCATGTAGTCAGTACTGGTCCAGTTTGGATTCCCCGCAATTATTGCAAATCCTTCCACTCTTCCTCCCTTCCCTCCATCCTCCTTTCTTCATTTTTAGAGAAAGCAGTTTTGAATAGCAAATTATCACCACACACTTGTAATCAAGTTCTTCAATGCTCTTTGCAGCAATAAAATAATAATTTCAATTAAAACTTACCTCTTCCTGGAGTAAACTCAAATCGTATGTCATTAAGTTCCTTTCTGGAGTTTCTGAAATACATAACACATAGCACATTAAAATCCAATGAAGCACAGTTGAATCAAACTAAATGTATTCCAGTTTTTACAAGACGCTACTAACACGCAGACAGCATTTACAGTTTTGGGTTACCTCTGAGTACTTCCTCAAAAACAAGAGATGGTTATGACAATAATAAAGGGAGATTTTTAACTGATTGAATTTACCTTATATAAACATGTTATTTCACAAAATTCCAAAAATAAAATGTTCTTTCATAAAATCAACACTAAATCAATAACCTTAAATATAATTCCATAATTAGAAATTTCAGATTTTAGTCTAGGATAAATAATATTTGATACATTTTTCATATCTTTCCTGAAAATAGTATTTCATCAATTATTTTTCAAAGTGAAACACTCAGGAAAGATAGTCTCGGTGGTGAAGTTTATGACAATACTGTGCGTTACACCATGCAACAAAATGCCCACAAAAGGATATGTAGTTTGTTATTAAAAATTTTATCTATGGGGCACCCGGGTGGCTCAGTCAATTAAGGGTCTGCCTTCGGCTCAGGTCATGATCCCAGGGTCCTGGGACTCAGCCCACATTGGGCTCCCCGCTCAGCAGGGAGCCTGCTTCGCCCTCACCCTCTGCCTGCTGCTCCCCACTGCTTGTGCTCTGTCAAGTATAAAATCTTTAAAAAAAAATTTTATCTACCTAGAGGGGGAATCCCTGAATGTTGTGAAATTATCCATTGAATAAACTTTTTTAAAAATAAATACAAAATGCTTACATAAAACTGTAATATATATATGTATATTCAATCCAAAAACTGACACTAAGGTAATATGGAACAAGTAAATACCTAAGATAGGAGTTTTCCATTCACATTAATTTCAAGAAATAATATAGGGCAGTGAGCTATAATTAGAATGGTTTTAAATTCTCATAAGAACACTAAAATATTATGAGTAACTCTCAATAGATGCTACAATTAAAGTTAATAAAAATACTGTAAGAAATTGCAGTAGGAAACAGGAAATAATAATTTCTACAAACACTCAACTATTTGCTCAGCTGCCAAGGGTCCAAGACAGAGATAGAGATGGCCTGAATACCCATCCCAAACAGCCTCCTCCTAGGGCCAGGAGAGTCTGATCAAATCCTGTTTAGTTCTCCAGTTTAGGACTCTAAAAACCCTGAGTAATATCTCCTGGTCTCCATGTACAGTGCCCACATCATGATGCCACCAGTCTCTGGGCCCTTCTTGGTCCCCAGCCTGAGCTTGGTTCTTCAGGTCTTATGATATCCTACCACACTAAATGCAGGAAGCCCAGAAAAATGACAAAGGCAAGGTACCGACTTAGAGAAAGCCCTTCTCCCTAGAGAAGCTGGCCTAAGTCTGCACTTTTCCACAAGCAGAGAAGTAAGGGTCAAGAATCCAAGAGATGCCCAAGCCCAGGCCACAGTCATAAGAGCCTTAAACAACCGTGTATCTTTTCCCAGGTATCCCCACCTGTCATTATTCCTCTCAGAGTAAGAATGGGACAGGGGGCGGGGGGGGCGGGGAGGCGGATATTGGCAACAGCTAAAGCTGTGCTTCTTTTAACATCTTCTTTTCAGGACCAAGGACTGAAAATTGTGGACTCTCACGCTAAAAAAGTAGACATAGGACCAACACATGAAATTGCAGACAACTGAAGATGGTTCAGAGATCTTGGACCCCAGACTAAGTGACTCTGTCCTGGAGATGGGGCAGGACATGAACAATCAGTGCCTACAACAGAAGGGCTTTGTGCCTGTGGCCTTGTTTATCTACCAATGTCACCACACATTTACATGGTGCTTTCATATACATCAGCAGTTCTCAAACTTTTTTTTTTTTTTGTAAACCTCTATAATGTCTGGCTTAAGATAGATGGATTCTTATTTTTGCTTTTATATTCAGTCTGCTGCAATATCACATATCATGTTGCCATCCGCTGGAAAATTCTACTCTAAATGTTGAAATAATGAGAATGAAAAAGGCACATAATTTATACAAATAGTTTGACCTCATGGGCTCCCCGAAAGGGACTCAAAGACACCCCCCCCCCAAGGATCATAGGACCACACCTTGAGAAACACTGATATCAAATCTCATGAATCAAATCTCATTTGATTCCAGCAATCAATCTTTGAGATACGCAAAGTAGGTACTATTTGTTTTCCATTTTTTTAGATGAGCACATTCAACGGCCTTTCCAAGTTTACAAATTGAGTGGCAGAGTGAGGACCAAAATTCTACACTGGAAATGCCTAATGCAAATATAGAAAAGCGCAATTCCTTTCACTTTTGAGAAAAACAATATTCCTCGAGATTTTTCACATTACCATAAAAAGATCAGCAAGCATTCTTTTATTTAATAGCGTCGGTTTTATGTGCTATGTATCAACGAAGGTTGAATTAGAACTAAAACAGTCCAGTAAGAAAAAAAAATGATCACTAGGAAAGCAAGCATTTATAGTATATTTAATAATGAAATGACAGAAGGAGGAAAAAAGAAAAAGGAATTTGATTTGATGCTAATTTAGGTCATTGTTCTTTTCCTCTCTTTCTTTTGGTCAGTCTTGTCTAAATTAGTTTGTCCTACTAAGGCCATAAGAAGAGAGGTATAAGAACTCTACCTGGAATATCATCATGCACATCCTTGATTCTTTCAGTATTAATACCACAGAAGTAATATCCAATACCCATAATCTACATCAACTATGGCTCAAGTTACAGAGGTTGCCTAATCAAGTCATTCTTTTATGACTCTGAACCTAAAATACTTGCCTTTGAAAAGATTACAGTGATTGATTGTGAATAGTAGACTTGTCTCATCAGGTTGAAATATAGTTGGAAAAATGCCTAATTGGATCTAACTACTGAAGGTCATCCTTTTATAAAGAATTAATCTTTTCAGACTCCTATTTAACACCTTTAATTGAAAGTACATTTACTTTAATTGATATGGCACAGGATATTCTTGATTTCAAAGAAGCTGAAAATAGGTATGATTTAAGGCCAGAAACTAAGTCTGTGCAACTTTATAAAGGAAATGTTTAAAACTTGAGAGTAACAGCTTTAAGACCTGGGCTACCTTTGATAACTCTTATCAAAAACCCTGTTAATCCTGGAGTGCCTGGGTGGCTCAGTCGGTTGAGCATCCCATTCTTGGTTTCGGCTCAGGTCATGATCTCAGGTCCTGGGATCAAGCCTGAGTTGGGCTCTGTATCCAGTGCAGAATCTGCTTGGTATTCTCTCTCCCTCTCCCTCTGCATGACCCCACCCTCTCCCGCCCTGGCTCATACTCTGTATCTCTCTAAAATAAATAAATAAAATCCTTTAAAAAACAAACAAACAAACAAACCTTTAATCCTCAAAATAACAACAACAACAAAAACTCACCCCAACAAAAAACATACTCCTAAGTTTGATAAGCACAAACCCTTCTCATTGTAGGTATATATTACATCACAAAGGCAAATGTCTGCAGGGCTCAGGCAGAATATTTATTTTTTAAAATAGGTGACACCATCACATGGTTTAAAACCCAAAAGATACAATAGGGTATTCTGTAAAACCTAGGCCTCTTAGTCTTGTCACTCAACTACCTGGTCTCCCTCAATGATATCGGCTTTTTGTACATCCTTCCCAAGATGTTTCATGCATATATCAGCAAATACACACAAATAGTTCCTTCTTGCCTGTTTAATACAAATGTAGCATACTATATCCATTGTTCTGCACCTTGCCTTTTCTTTTAATAAAATACCTTGGAATTTCTCCCTATTGGTTCATAGAGAGCTTTCTCATTCTTTTTTTATAGCTACATAGTATTCCGTTGCCTGTGCTAATCCTTTCTTGAACCAGTTCCCATTCTATGAATAGACTGTTTCTGGTCTTTCACTATTATAAACAATGCTCAATGAATAACCTTGTTCTTATGTCATTTTGCAAATACATGAGTATGAAAATAAATTTCTAGAAGCAAGTTGCTTGGTCAAAGGATAAATGCATTTGCAATTTTATAGATATTGTCAAATTCCCCTTCATTTAAGTTGTACCAATTTATACTCTCACAAGCAATTTGCAAGCACCATTGCAGGAACTTTCAATGAATAAAGCAGGAAGTACAGTTAAAAAAAAATCAGGGAGATGTGTTCTGCCGGCTGGAAAGTTTCTTCCCCATTTAAAAAGGGCAACCACTGCTCAGCACCAGCTGGTTAAGCCAGACAGGAATTTGGGCTCAATCACATTTAAACACACACACACGCGCTTGAGATACATATAAATATATAGGTTATACGTAAAATACATATGCTATATATTATATATAAATATACAGGTTATATGTAAAATACATATGCTATATATTATAAATATACATATATATATATTTGCTATGTTCATTCAAAGTGACAAATCCAGAGATACAGACTGTCATGTTTAAAGTCTGCCTTCTTGCTCATTCAATTCACCTGCAAGGGACACAGTGAACCCTTGAATGAAGCAGCTGGCTCGGAGGGTGGGGATGAGCATCACGTGAGTGAGCACGCAAGCGTTCCTGGTGACGGAGGTGCAGCGGGCCTGCGCAGTTGGAGTCTGCATTTTCTAGGATGTATCATTTTTTGCACTTCTTAACGTACCACGTCGGAACAGTCTGATAGAGTTATTGCTCCTGGAGGGCTCCAAAGCCAAAGTGCCAGCTCAGGACTATGTGCATTCCTTAGCTTCACATTCATGTCTTTTAGCCCACACCAAAAAAGGCACACATCCCCCAAGAACCAGATGTGATCAAAATGCTTAGGAGCCCAGAGACCACTGGTTGTCCAAGGGCATGGGCAACCGTAAGTGCCACTGGCACTGCGTACCCTCCACCACAGGGATGCTCTGCAGTGAGGCTGAGCGCCAACCATTTCCCCAAGCTCTGAGGCTGAAGGACGCAGTTGGGGCAACACTGGCAGGTACGGTGTTTTCTAGGTGTCCAGACGCGGCCCC